ACTTGGCTGGAGAATTCTGGGAGTTGAAGTCTGCACATCTTAGAAGTTGATAAGATGGGTAGACTTTTTTTCCCCCTGATCTAGACACCTGAAAACCTGGTTGGTTCTAACCAAGATATTACTCAATTATGTTTTTTTTTTACCGGCCTAGTATTATAATTACTCATTGTACTAGACTAGCACTTTTATATTTATAGATGATCTAGAATCAGCAATGAATGAGATGTCAATTAGCTCTCTGAATAATTTGGCATTAACAAGAAAGGGCTGGCGAAATGGCTCCAGAAGTAACTCTCTGAACTAGAGGAACCACCTTCCAAGAAATGTGTAAAATGCTACAGATTGGATATATGGAAAGACTGGAGCAGTGGTTTTTCTGTCATACTGGATGACCGAGTTCTACAACACTCTGGGGATCCTCCCCTGAAAAGAGGCATCACTGTCAGTCTTTGGGTTGTTCCCAGGGCATGGCCTTGCCTAGAGTCTTCTCTCCAGGCCAAGGTGAAACCTTGGATTTGCCCCAGACTTTGCCACCTTGCCAGGCCCGTGTCGTATCCCGTTTTTTCCAAAAGGTACCAAGCTTGGTACCTTTTTCATTCGTTCAAGTAGTTAGTAGTCAGCAGCAAACGCCTCTGGCTTCCCCCTTGCATTGGTCGACTCATTGCCAGTGACCAGAGCCCTCCGGGGACTACATGGCTGGCTGAGAGCTCAGCCATGGCTTTCCTCAAGGGGGCTTCCTGCTGCTGCTGCCGCCACACAGAGACAGACACACATTTTGAAAATATGCTTTAATCACTTGGTACTGGGCAGATACATTCTGCGAACTCTAAAAAGTCGCTGAGTTGCCAAAACACAGCTGGGCCATGGCACACCCAAAGTCACCCTAGACGGAAAATCAGACAGCAGCAACTGCTCCTGCCATCATACTGGACAGGGTCCCAGGGAGCTGGGACAGCTATGAAAGGGGCTGCTGGGCTGCTGAGACCACAGCGAGAAGCACAGAGAACTGAGGCAACCCTTAAACAACAGCAAGTCAGAGAGGAGCCCTGCTCCCCAGATCACGAAAGGCAGTGCCTGGATGAGCCCCGGAGCCCCAGGCCCGCGACAGACGGCTTACCAAAAGAGGGCCGGGGACCAGACAGTGGGGGGAGGGCTGCTCTCCTCCACTGATGGGACTGGCGAAAGCCCCAAGCGAACCCGAGCCCTTTAAAGTGCCAGGGAGGCAGCCTATCGCCTACCCATTCAAGGACCATTTGGCCCGGCTTTCCTCTGAAGGACCGCAGCCTCTGCCCTTCCAGGCACAGTTGGTATCAGTCCTCATTTCTATTGCACGGATGGAAGGCAACTTCTTCAGTATCAATCCTGCCAGAGGACCAGCTAAAAACTTTGGGGCACCAGGAAGGTTATTGCATCGATCCAATATTCACACTCAAGAGTACCTTATAAGCAACTGTTACACACACACAGACAAGGTAACACACGCGAGGCAACTCCCCCCGAGCAAAATGAGCATCTCTGTGCTGGTGTGCTGGTGGATTCTGGAGCTCCCAAAAGGCAGCAGAAAGGCCGGGGGGGGAAGCGGTTTGCCATGGCCAGGCATCCTGCTGATCCTCAGGAGGAGGCAGGACAGAAGAGGCGAGCCTCTGCTGGCCAACAGAGTCACTGGCTTCGTTCATAATTCAGCACGTAGTAGTCATGGACATACATGAGGACAGCGATTGGCTGACCAATGATCAAGGATATCCACACAGCCGCATTTCCATAGTTGCCCTGGAGAAACCGACTCACAAACAAGGCCAAGGGGATCTGGGAATGGGGAGAAGACAAGCAATGGTTTAGGCTAGGCTGGAGAGGCAAGAGCAGCAGAGGGCTGGGCTGGGCTGGGCTGGGCTGGGCTGGGCTGGGCTGGGCTGGGCTGGGCTGGGCTGGGCTGGGCTGGGCTGGGCTGGGCAACAGCAGCCTGAAGTTTGTCCAAGGGCTTTTAGGTGAGCCGGAAGGACAGGGGAAAGGACTGCAGGCTCCTGGGCTTCCAAACTGCCTCACTGGCCAGGAACCACAGCAATGGGTTTCTCGATCTTACCTGTGCCATCATGCCCATGAACGCCCACAGCCGGAACATCTTCAAGGGCACACTCACCAGGTACTACCAGGGTTGAAGGGGAATGGAAAAACATGTTATCAGTCTAAAGACAAGAGGGCACAAAGAACGCTGTCTTGTGTGAAGAGAGGCACTGCAAAGTGGCCAGTTATCTCTGCCTGCCTGGCCTCTGAAGGGGTGTGATCTGAGCCCGGGAAAGGAGGATGCACCATGGACTCATTTATGAGGTTTCTTTCCTATTTATGAGGCTAGCTTTCGTTCCTATTTAAAAGCCCTTGCTGAAAAGGAGGGATATGAAAGGTGCACTGTTGCTTCCCTTCAGTCACGCCCAACATGTGAGGCAGCCCTGAGGGATGCTCTTCCATCATCTTCCAGAGACAGAGCTAGAATGGTTTTGGGAAACATTTCTACACTCTAGCATTCCTCAACTCAGTCCAACAAATGCCCACCTCAACTTTGATTTGCTGCAACTTTCTTTCTGAGCTGGAATCGCAGAACTACTCTTCTTTGGAGAACTGCCATGTCCTTTCTTTCCACCCAGATATTCCTAATTTTTGCAGTCAGACTTGGGGAGGAGAGGAGGACAACTAAGCCTAGCCCTCCCCCTTCTTGCTTTTCTTAGAAGCTGTCTTCACCCAAGAGCTTCCTGTCTAGAGTGGGATCTGCTCTAAAAGAAAGCACTTTCTAGGGCCAGTTCAGCCTGGACAGAACAGCCCAGTTTAGGTGGTCCAAGCTCCCAACTTCTCAATCAGAGATTGGTCTATCTATTGCTGTTCCCATCTTACCCTCCCACCCACCTTTCTTTCAAGGCAGAAGCCTGGGCAGCCCCCGCCCCCCAGCTTCTAAGACAACAGCATGTTTTTTTTCAAGAAAGAGCAAAGTAAAGGGCTATGGATGGAGGTGCTTCTAGAGTTTTTATTTTGGACTACCTCTATGTAAGTTAGATGAGAAAAATACTAACCTCATGGAAGAAAGCAGAAGCAAAGAACACAGCCATCTGAGCTGTCCACTTCCCAACTCCCCTCTTCATCATGGGCTTGTAGAAATGCCTAGGAAAGGTACAGGGGTAAAAGAGACCCCCCCCCCCCTGTATCAGTGCCTTGCCTCCAGGAAGAGTGAGGCGGCAGCTGTATCGATCGGTCAAGTCCTTCCCATTGTAGTCTCAAAAGCATCTGGCAGTAGGCAGACTTAGGCATCACCCACGCATCCTTGCCTGCCAGAAAACAACTTTGACTTGGAAAGAGCCAGCTTGGCAGTCAGCCTAGAGAAGTTCAAGGATGGCATCTTCCAGATAGCCTGACAGCCCTGGCCCAAGCAGGTGGAGTTGGTGTATGAGCTCCAGGAATATGGGAGCTTCTGCACAAAAGAGGACGCCAGCTTCTGGCATGGGAAAAGAAGCAGGGCTGGAACCTTGGGAAGGCTAGTTTAATCATGCCAGCTAAGCCCAGTCCTCTTTCTCCAAAAATGGTGTGAAGCTTTGACTAAGTCCTACTTCTCTCCTCCATCCTCTTAAGGAGCTTCCTCAGGCTTTCAGATTGCCAAGCTAGGTAGACCTTTCAACGGCACTTTGTCCTTGAACAAAAGGGGTGGGTGGGAGGGAAGCTAGCTCAAATCAGGGCGAGCAGCCCTCAGAAGCATCTTGATGCAGGAACATCCACCATTCTGGGGGTTGAAGCAGAACTGCCCCCCCTCCGCCCTTGCACGCTACTAAAGTGTCATACCTCAGGCACCATTTGTGGACTGGGATGTTCCAGTTCTGCCAGAAATAGGTCACCGACTCTGAGTTCCTGCGAAACAGCAGCAAAGTCAGAGGTGGCATAGAAATGAAATGCTGGTCTAGGCAAATTGTGCCGATAAGTCCTCCTCCCTCTCATTTAGGCAGGGACCGATTCCCTTCCAACAAGCCGCTGACTGAAGACCCTCCCCTTTGGCGACGGTCTCCCACGATCTCAAGCCCTCACTATCCAAGTTACGCTGATCTATGCAGGTCTTGCGTACAACTGAACAGGAGGTGGGGGGGGACAGGTGAAACATTTGCTTCATCCTATATAGCTGTAGCCAATTTAAGTAATGCAGGGAGACCCGCTTAGACAGGAAAATTACTTGCAGCATTTGCTAAAGGCTCAGAGGCCTGCTGAAATCCAAGGGATCCAATGTCATTCTGGTCATTTTGGACAATTCAAAGTGTCGAAACAGGAAGTCCTCAGAGTGGCCCATTAACCATATCCTCCCCCCACCCCCGCAACACACATACACATCAGCCAACTCACCACCAGTCCCGGTAAAACTCTCGGTCCCCAAACTGCAAGATCTCAGCTAAAAAGTTCAGGCTGGAGTGGAAGAGCCAGTAGAAGAAGATGAGCCAGATCATGTGATTGGGAACCTGCCAGAGGCACAAGACAAAAGGAGCCACGTATGGAAGAAGAAGAACTGCCTGTTTGCAGCCAAAAAGATTCTTGGAGCCACTTCCGGATGCATCAGTCTCAGAGACCAGAAGTGGAGAATTAGGGTGGCTGTTCCCAACCATCCTTAGGCAAGAGTTTCTTTTGAGCTTCTCTAGGACCATGCTAGATGGTCCTCGTGCCCTGATGCAGGATGGAGCCATTTTTACATCTGTTCTGAAAGAGGCATTCCAAGGACAGCAACAATCCTGTGGGCAAACCAATATCCTGGGCCCAGAACTAGAGCTAACAACTTGCCTTACAGACACAGACCAAGTTTGTGTCCCCAACACTGCACACCAGGCCCATTTCCCAGCTGAACCTCATCTCCTGCCTTCCAAATTGAGACTACAACTCCCAGAATTCCCAGCCAGCAGTTTGCAGTACTTACAGCTAACTTCAGGAGACGCTCAATGATCCTGGAATAGTCCATGTCCTGCAAACCAAGACCAGCCTCAGTCTTCTCCTTACCCAGAGCATTTGAACACAGACCTCCCTCCCTCAAGCGGCTGTGCCCCCATTCTCTTCTAGCCACTGAACTCTAACCCCAATGTCTCTTCTAGATTGGTTGAGGAATATCAGGATCTGAGTTTCCCAAGCTTCTCAAAGTTTTCAGACAGGAGGGGGTGCTGTGCAATGAGGTGTCCTAGAAGAGGTGTCTTCCACAGATATGCCCTCCCCTCAAAACATATGATCTTCTAGATTCTGGTGCTCCAAGGACCTTCAGCATTGTTCAAAAAAAGCAGAGCTTACCCGAAAAGGTTTCATGGAGTTCTGAATTGTGGGAACCATCCACTAGAAGAGGAAACACCAAAAACAACTCAGTTAGGGGGTCATCTTGCCCAGGCCTAACCAACCCAAAAGATTAGTTCTCTTGTGCTGGGACTCAGAAATGCTCTCGGACAGGAGAATAAGGTGATGAGGAGGCCCACCTTTGCATGCACAGAAATTCCAGTGATTAGGGATCCTTGCCAATCAGATCCAACTCCCCCAGCAGCTGTAGGCTGTCAGGGGGGCACCTGAAAAGGGTCTCTCTAGAGTAGTCTTGCCCATGCTGTTCTTAAGATATCTCAAGAAGGGGCCATTCTAGCCACTCCAAGGGAGCCAGGCTGGGGAAGGCTGCTCCTTAGCTCCTTTGGTTTTGCTAGGGGCAGTCCTGCCATTGCAGTCTTCAAGAGTGCAACTCTAAACCAAGCCTGCTGAAGCCCCAGGGGTCTTGGTCTCACTTCCACACCATGGAAGCCAGCCCTGGAGCCACTCCCCCGCCCGCTGAAGGCTGGGGTGACTCCTCCACGGTCAGAATCAGGGTACCTTGTCAGTCTTTGCATTAATTCAGAGGCCCCAGTGACACAGGGCAGGGCTAAGAACTGTGTCTGTGTCCTCAGCCCTAGCAAGCAGTTCTGGGGAGGGGACAATCCTCACCCCCTGCTTTACCAAGGCTGCAGGCTTGCAGGACCACCCCACTCCCCTTCCAGCTCTGGGCTGCACCAGGAATCTGCTGCTTGAAGAGCAAATTACTCTCATGAGTGGGCAACAGGAGAACATGCCATAGCCACAAGAAGCTGTCTCTTGACGGCTCATCCTTTGAGCCACAAGGAAAGAGGGTGGGCCCAGAGCCACCCCACTTACCTGCTGAATCAGCCCCACCAGCAGCTGCAGAAGGAAGAGCTGGAGGAGAAGGAGGAGGAAAGCCAGGGGTGAGTGCAACCAGCAGAGCCCTCAGGAGCGCCCTGGTCCAGCCCAACCACTTCCTGTCCCTCTAGCTTCAGCTGGCAGGCTCCCTAGCACTGGACAGTTTCTGCAGTGGCCACATTTCTAAGGATTCCCCAGAAATCGTGGCCTAGAACTCACTGAAGCTGCCCTCCATGGATTCAGCAGGGCACCAGTGGCCAGAGCCTCCAATGTGACAACTGGTGGATAACGTGTGGCCCAAGGACCTGCTCTGGCTGCAGAGGGGCCCAGCTGAAGTCCCATTGAGCCACTGGCAGTCAGCATAGGCTATGGAGGCACTTTCGATGACACAGGCTGGCAGGTAGCTAACTTCTGAAGTGGCAGTCCAAAGTGGGGAGGGCACCAGTTGCCCCCCACCAGCCTATCAGTACTCAGCCAGGTAGCCCAGTCCGGTGTAATGCAGCTCCCTCTCTTTCACACCCTCTTGGCTGGAGGGAGGACCTCTCACCCCAGAGGCTCACCATCTCAAAGAACCTCCGCAGAAGAAAGCGCTTGCGGATCCGTGGGGAACGAGGGAAATTCAGCTCGTAGCACAGAGTGGGGGCCAGCAAGAAGTAGTACAGATCTGTAGCGGAAAGAGGTGGACCTGTTGACAGGAGCTGAGAGCAGAGGCCGGTTTCCATCTCCCACGAAAAAAAGAGCATCGAAGGGGAGAGTGGGGACAGAGCTACGCCTGCATCCAGACTGGGGAGGCAGGAGGATGCCGCAACCCACTGCACACTACCGGAGCGTTCCACTCAGTTCCTGCATCTCCCACCAGACGATCTGGTCTCCTTACCTCTATAAGTCAGGTTGTCTGGATACATCACCTCTCTTGGAATTGCATTCCCATTGGCTTTCTGTGGTCCCGAAGCTGGAACAGAAAGACAATTGGTGACAATGGCCCACCTGATCCAATCAGAGACCCCCCTCTGACCCCACCACCTCCAAAGGAACACCAGTGGTCTTGGTCACAAGCAAGCTCTTCTGTTCAGATGAAGAACCTGCCGCTGCTGGAGCAGGAAGTGGCTCGTGCCAGACAGGAGACAGGCAGGAAAAGAGCAAAGCAGGGCCCCTAAATTGAGCATGGAGAAGCTGGGCTCGCAGAAGTGGTAACAAGCTAGGCCAGAGAGCTTCCATCTCAGCCCACCTGGTGTCCTGAGACAGTATTTGCACACTCCCCATCAGCCAGACTGGGAGAAGTTGGTTCAAGAGCAATCAGTCTGAAGAACAGACATTGAAATGCCACCACCCCAAGTACCGGCTCAGGAAGGTTGGCCTTGATCGGCAAAAACGTCTCCTTGCCCAAAGGCCATTAATTCTTCAGTATTACAAGTCGTCAGTAGCTGGATCAACAACCAAGTGTTCCTTGGCCCTCAGCAAAAGCAAGAGGAGGGCAGGGCTGTTCCTCAGCTTTTCTTCCTTTGCCTTTGGGTTCGGGGGGCTCAAGGGCAACCTTCTTCCCTCTCCCTCCCCTTCCTCCTCCTATGCCAGTCCTCCAGCTGCGTACCTCTCCTCACTACCAGTGGAACAGCGGGCCTCCTGTGGACCCAGCCAGGGTCAGTTCCTCTATGCTCACCTGTGCGCACTTTGGCGGCTTTCGCTGGCCTCTTCTCACGGCACCACTTGTTGAGATCCTTGAAGGAGAAGAGCTTGAGAAAGAGGAGGGTGTACACCAAGAGAGCCCAAAAGGCCCCAACTGTGGAAGAAGACAGGAAAGAGAGTGAGAGGCTTCACTGGTCATGTTGTCTCTGAGGCCCAAAGAATTGACTTCTCTGCTCCATGGCCTTGGAGGTAATGGTGGTGAGTAAAGAATTCAACACTTAGCTAAGAAGGAAGGATGGTGTGAAGCCTGTCTGAACATGGTGTCTCTGGAAGGCTGAAAGGAGCGGGTCCACTACTGCCTCAGGAACTGAAGCGGCCTGTGATTTCCCCCCAGATTCTTCCTTCTCTCCTTAAGCCATGAGGCTGTCAGCCCAAACATCTGTTGGGCCGTGACCAGCGCAGGGAGGAGCAGCTTTACCACGTGTTGCTCAAGTGGCCATGGAGGCCCTAACCAACCCTCCCAAGACCTCTGCAAACAAGTGTGGCTGTGGTTCTTGGGCCACATGGGCCAGAGGTTAGGAAAGATGTAGTCCCACCCATCAACAGCTCATGGGGGCAGGAGAAGCTGTTCTAAGGCAAGAGAGTTCAAGCACCATGTGGCCCAAAGGCCCACCCAGCACACTGGGAAATGTGTCCTGGGACAGCCTGCCTCACAAGGCACCCCTCACAGGACAGCACCCACCTGGTGTGATGGAGGTGACTGCCAGCACCACAGGAACAGGAAAGCACAGGACTGTCAGGAGGTTGAGGGTGTGCAGGATAGTCCCACTGCGCTCAGATAAGGAGCCCTGGACACTCAAAGGAAGAGGGTCCTCTTAATACAGAGGCACAGAATCTGAGCACTCCCCAAAAGGCCCAGGCACAGCCCAGACCCCACCAGAAAACTGTAACCCTCAAGATGGCATATGGGGGAAACCATTCAATACACGATCAGAGAGTAATCATATCAACGCTTTAGTTTTTATCCTGCCCAACCAGGACTTTCTGGAGGGCCGCCAGCTGCCTACACTGGGCCTTCGCTGCTTCACTGTTTCTCCCATGAAGTGCCCTGAAGGGGTCACCCTAAAAGAAAGCCCAAGATGCCACACACAAACCCACCCACCTACTAGGTCTCTTGTTCATTATCCTTGGGCTGAAGAGAGCCCAGAACCAACCCTTGGGACAGCAGCGGTTCTGTTTTCAGGGGCCACAATGGCAAAGGAGGCTTAAACAATCGAACGCCTGGAGCCTTGGCAAAAGACGCAGGAGAGCCCCACCACCCAGCCCTGCTCACCACTGCCAGCTTCTTCTCTATGTGCAGAGCTACCAGGGCAAACACGTTGGCCGCTGAAAAGGAAGGCACATGGAGTGAGCACCGATTCCAGTCACAGCCAAGCCAGCCCCGAATGTGGGCCCACAGCAGGAGGTTTACTGGGTGAGGCCTCCATCCACATCTCCACCCACTAAGCCTGTGGGCACCCCTTTCTGTTTGAACACACCCTTACCCTTCCCACCACATGCCAGAGTATCCCGAACTGGACCCCCCCACCAGAAGTACAGGGGCAGCCAGAAACACCCCCCCCAACTGGGACAGAGGAGGAAGGCCAAGCATCTGACTCACCAATAATAAGGCATGGAGCTGGCCAGCTGTAGGGATCCTTGAGGAACAAGGAGACGACCTGGATGGGGTCCACCAAAATGCCATACCTGAGGAGAGAGGACCATGTTGGCTGCAGGTCCACAGGGGGAAGGGGGCTGCTGTTGTGAGATGTGGCACCCTGTCCCCCCAACTCTGTCCAGAGTGCTATCTGTCTTCAGTCGCTGCTAGGAGCTAGTCATCTCAGTGGCTTGAGCACCCCCCTGAAATCTGCCCCAGAGCTGAAGGCTGGAGGACAAAACCCCTCAATTTATTCCAGGATTCTTACACAAGGGGAGGGGAGGGAGGGGCCTGGCTCCCCTGTGGGCAGAGGGACTCTCAGGATCTCAGCTTTAAAGAACGGGGGGACCTGGTATCTTCAGAGCCTGGGAAGCACTCTGCCAATCCCACTGTCCCAGACCCAAGGCTGTGATCCGTACACACCATGCACCACACACAAACTTCTCCCTCTCGCGAACTTGAGCATCACGCATTGTAGGGGAAGGGAGCAGCCTAGCCGCCTCCAAGTTGCAGAAAGGCCGTGGCATTATATGCGCACACAGCTCTGTAGCCATAGGAAACTCCAGGCCTAAGCAGAGTGGGCAACCTTTTGGCAGGCGGGGGCCCGGGTAACATCTTTGAGGTCACCAGGGGCCACAGTGGAGGAGGAAGAGGAGGAGATCAGGCTCTAAAACTAAGCCAAGCCTATTTTAAGGCTGGCATTGCAGGCTGATTGTTTCCTGCCATTTTCAGGAGTGGGGCAATGTCACCATCTTCCAGCTGCTGCTGCCAGGGGATCACAGGCATCCCTGGGGCCTCCGGATAACCCCTCCCCCACAGCCTAAATCTGCTGCCCAGGCTTCCAGCCAAGTGGGCCAGCTTGACGGAGCAGAGGGACCCAGGCCTGGGAGATGTGAAGAGCAGAACCCGGGAGAGCCACCCTCTTCCCCTCTGGCCAAGCCCCCTCTTCTCAGCCAGGATGCCACTGGCACTCCGCAGCCCCGCCCCCCCGGAAAGGAGAGCTTCCAAGCTCTTGCGCCCTGTTCTTTCTGGGGCTCACGCAGGCAGTCATATGCCAAAGGCGACCAGTCTCAGCTCCCAAGGCCACTGATTCCAGTGCCTCTCCCCCAGGGACCAATGCAGATGGGCTGCCAGGAGGCCAAGGGCATGCAGAGCGGTGTGGAGCCACATGGTGGCAACACCCCCCTTCAAGACCTCCAGGAACTAGAAGCCCACCATCTGCTTCCCCAGCCAGATACCCAAGATGGTTGGGGATGAAGGAAGACTAGAACCTAGTCTGGCTCCTTCACCGGCACACCACCCTGGCTCTCAGGCAGCCGCCCAGAGTCCCCCAGCCACTACTAGTGAAGGTACTGCACAAGGCTCTCCCCCCTCCTGGTCCAGTACCTTCACTACTAACTACAGCAGCTCTCCTGGGGGCTAGAACAGCGCGCCCGCCAATCGCTCTGCAGCCCACCACCCGATGCAGAGGGCTTCGTGGGGCAAGCAGCGCAGCCAGACTACAGACCTCGAACCAAAACTGGTCCGAATCTTCTCAACTACTGCCAGAAGAGCCGCCGCAGCCCTGTTGTGGTGAGATCCCTTTGGAGGCTGGTAGCAATCCAAAGGCCCCCCTGCTCAGCAGCGGGGGAGGGGGAGGCTCTGATGGATTCTGTGCCCCAGCCTCAAGACTTGGCACTTAAGGGCAACCCCTTGCTGAAAGGGCCCCCCGTCACCCGACGGGGCCTTCAAGCGGCGGCTCATGAGGCCCCTCCCTCCTGGGCAAGAGGCAGGGGGCAGGCTGGGAGAGGGGCTGGGGAGCAGGGCCAAGGCCTCGTCTCAGGCAAGGCTTGAGGGTCTCAAGCTGTTCCAGCCGCCCCAGGAGGAAAAGAGCCAGGACTTACTTGATGAGGTTCTCCAGGAAAAGGCGGGCATTGCTCAGGACCTGGGGAGGGAAGAGAGTTACGGCAGGAAGGAGAAGCGCCAGCTGGACTGGGGGCAGGGAGCAGCAGAAAGAAGAACGGCTAATTTCACCCCAGAAGAGGCTTCACGCCCCGAGAGACCCAGCATGGGACGAACAAGCCAGCCCTTTCAGGGTGCCGTTTGTGCTGGGGAAGGTGAAACGCAAAGAGCAGGTCAGGCCTCTGAGAATTAATGCCGTCCATGCAGTGGGGCCCGGAGTTTCCCGAGAGTCTGCGGAATTCCCTTTGCCAGATTTTTCTCCGGAGCAGAAAACTGCCAAGGAGCTGGGAAGGGACAGGCACCCTTCGTATCTAATCGATTCGGGGGTGGTGGTGGAGGGGGGCATTTTGCCAAGCTGCATTTGGCCCAAGGAAGTCAGACAAGAGAGGGCGCTGCAGCCAGCTGGGCAGAGACTGGCAAAGAATCCTCCATTAGCTTCAGAGCAGAGCGGAATCCAAATACGGACCTCTGCTCCCAAGAGGCACCCTGCAACTCCCAGCGCAGTCATCCTGCAAAGGTACAGCATCCGGGTGACTCTGAATGCCAGGGCATTCTCTTAATGGCAGAGAAGGAAAGCCGTCTCCCCAGTTTCCTATTTGTAGGAGACAAACTGACAGATGATGTCTGGCCCACCAAGGCCCACCCCAAGTCCAAGGCTTGCAGGATGCCATGGGGGCGGGGGGGAGAGGAAGCACGTCCCAGGTACGGGAGGGACCTTGCTGTGCCAAGACAGGCTGCCCGTGCTGTCACAAGGGAGGGCTTCCAGCTGCTTCAGGGCAAAGATTAGAAGAGCAAAGAGGAAGTGTGCGAGGAGCGCTTCTGACTCACTCTCCTCCCCTGAGTTGGATAAGAACTCAGCAAATCCTGCGGCTGACTCGGAGGTGTCTTGGGAGAGGAGAAGCTGGGCTGGCGGGCTGGCTCTTCTGGGGGGATGGAGGGGGCTGAGCCCTGCGCAACCACCCCCCGGTGGAAGGTCAGGAGGCCAGCGTGACAGGCGACTGCCACTGCCATTCCCAGCTAGGGAAGGACCCTGAAACGGGAAGGCTGGTGGCCCCGTCCTAAAAATGGCAGCTGCCATCTATTGGGGATCGAATGTGGCACGACATTCCTTGCTACCATTGGAAGTTTCTCGGGCAGATCCTTGCTTCGTGCCCTTGATCAGTCTCCAGATTTCATCAAGGGCAAAAGATTGTGCTTCTCAACTTCTGCATGGACCAACCCCCCCACAGAAAGAGCAAATGCCGCTTCTTTTGGCTTATGGCTCCTTCTTGCTCCGTGGAGGAAACCCTCCACCCTTTCGGCCACAGGACCCAAACTTCCTGTTTGGATACTCTACTGTAACGAAACCTTGAAACCTTGAAACAAGACACGTGAGAATGGAAGCGCGCTGGACCCAAAGAAGCCTGCTAGCCCAGTAGAGGATCTCAACGCTCCATCCTTGGGCCACCCGGATGCACTCTTCATTCTCTTCCTCTCCTTAAAACGTGGGACTGTCACGTCCATAAGCCCTCCGGAGCTGAGCAGCAAGGGATCTGCTGCCGCAGCAGCATTCCTAGGATGGGTCAAAGCAAGTTTATACCCCTCCATGTGACCAAAACAGTTGAAGTCCGCACTTGAGCAGGCCAATTTTTCTATTTTATCATGTTTTCAGAAGGGAGGTGGCCCTTTTCAAATATCTGGTAGTGGCAGTCCTGCCATCAAGGCTGCCAAGTAATTGCTTTCTACAGAGGGTGGCGTGAAGCAGGAAGAGGACGGCATCCGGGTGACACTGAATGCCAGGGCAGGGCGTTCTCTTAATGGCAGAGAAGGAAACCCGTCTCCCCAGTTTCCCATTTATGAGACAAACTGTGGTCCTTTGTACCTTGAGTACTTTGAGGTTCTCAAAGCCAGGCATGCACCTGGGGAGGTTGGTCCAGGCAGAAGTTGAGAAGCACAATCTTTTGCCCTTGATGAAATCTGGAGACTGATTAAGGGCATGAAGCAAGGATCTGGCCCAGAAACGCCTGTCTTGGTGAAACACGTGTGGATCCCCCAAGTGAGAGCGCACCATCTCCCCTAAGCGGAGGTTAAGGCCGCAGAAGGTCTAGCCTCCAGGATGAGCATTAGTGGGAATCTGTGTAATGAGTTCTAGGGGGCAGCCATTAAGACCTTGAGTCCCAATGACAAGGCTCACATAGGGAGAGCGGTGGATGGCCCAAAACCAGTGTCACTGCTTGTTCTGGAGAACAGAGCCTAAAGCGGTGGCTACTAGTTGATGCCGCCTGATCCCCACCCCACCTAAAAAATGCACAGTAATTCAGGGCTGCCTCCTGCCAAGACCAAAATTACCTGCCTTTTGCACCACTGTGCAAAGGCCCTCCAAGTCAACTGGCAGGTCTTGGGGATGGCGGGTTGTCCTGGGGCCACAACCGTCTCTCCCACCAGACCCAGAAGATCCGTGCTTAGGGACTGCTCCAGCTAATTCAGTTAGGGTCACCCCTGCCTTGAGCAGCTGGCCTTGTGCATCCCTTTGGAAATGGCTACAACAGGTGGGCGTGTGTCCAGCATGCTTTCAGCCAGGGAGCTCCAGGGCACAGATCCTTCTGCTTGACTGTCTTGCATTTGGGGAAAGAGGAAGCTCACTGACAGAGGGGCATCCTCATTTTGTTAAGATCTCGTGACAGAGAAGGTATTCCCCTAGCGACAGACACTAGCCACACAGCCATCTGCCATGCAGGAGAGAGAGCTATTGGAACAACCTGCAGGGCAGGCAGGCCCTTGGGACTCGGCCCAATCCCACGGTCATCTGCCCTGCAATCTCACCAGCTTCACGAGGTCAGCCTTCTGAATGCCAGGATCCCTTTTGTGGCTCAGAAGTGCACTGGGGGCAGTTTTCCTTTCCCCGTGTGGATGATGACCCCAAGATGCAGAACCCGCTTGGATGCCACCAGCATGCTCCTGGCTTAAGCTCACCATAAATTTCCTGGAGACTGTAAAGCACCCGACTAAGTGGCTTTCCCCATGGAGGATGCTCTAATGAGCCTCAGCATGGATCCTCCATGCTCTGAAATGGCCCAGAAAAGAGCCGCCCTCAATTTGACTAACACTTGGGCTGATGCCACACCAAAATGGGGTCCTCTGAAGTGAAGCTGATCTTTTCTTCAAGTGCACTTGAGGAACCTTCAGTTGAATGCTTGGGGCAAGGGGAGGGGGGGAACAGGGCAGTGCTCTGGCAGAGAAACATCTGGCTACAGCATAGAGACCTAGAGCCTTCCCACCGCAATAGAAGGCTGGCCTGGAAGCCAGTTTCCTTGAGCACATCAGAAGCCCAGCCCCAAAAATAGTCACCCGGGTCCCTCTAGGTGTGAGAAGATGGCTGTCGCCTCCCACCCTTGAGGGCCCCTCGTCTCTAACATTCAAAGTCATTCCACCCCTGAACCCAGAATCGCCACTGAAATACTAGAATCTCTTAGTCTCAGCATCCACTTGGTGCATGTCTAAGTGGTCTGCCCCCCACCCTGCACACGGCCACTCATCAGAAGCCAAGATGCAAGACAGCCTGGCTATTGACACCACAGTGTTCTCTCTGTGCTGCAAAGTGGCCACCGAGGGTGTCTGGCTGGCCGGCTGCCAGCTCTTCCAGCACAAGCCCCAAGAGATGCAGCTGGCGCCTGCCGCCTGGGGATGCCAAGGGGCAAAGAGCCACTAATTTGGGCCCAGAGACAGAAGGGGAGCGGGGCTGCAATCACGACTTACCAGCATGACAACACACCAGTTCAAGATGCCCCGGTAGTTGCTGTAGCCGCTGGCAGAGCTTAGCAGAGAGTCCTGCAGTTTGTGGCACCTAAGGAGGAAGAAGGTTCCACCGGTTAGGCTGGGCTTCAAAGGTTATGCTTTCTGGGGGCCGTGGGCGTTGGGGCCACCCTGTCCTTCACCAAGCCCCAGAACCCTAGGGGTGTTCAGAAGGGCAGATCCTGCACTGTGGCAGAGGAAATGAAAGCAACGGGGAGGGCATGAAGGTCCTGAACTGGAGCCCCCAGGAGACAAAGCCTTTTGGGTGCTGCTTCCCCTTCACCCCCTCAGACCCAGAGCTGCTCAGAGCCTCCATCACCTCATCCATCCCCTGCCCGGCACCAAGGGCAGGACTCAGGGCAGGGCAAGCCTACACACAAGTGGGCACACCACACCGCAATCCTGCCTTCCCACAGAGAAGTGTACTCGTCAGCACCTAAAAAGTGCCATAAAGCTGCTTCTCCCCTCCACCCCCCAGCCAGAAGTGGGTTAAAATGGAGCTTTCCTCAGCTGCTTCATTGCCCCCAAGAAAAGCAAACTGGTTCTGACAGTGGTCTGGCACGCTCGGGGGGCTTGGCGAATGCGAGGGGTGTGGAGTTGCCGAACCTCAGTCCCTGAGCCAAGGAGACATGCTCCTTCCGCTTCTTGCAAACTTCTGAGGAGCAGAAGTTGGTTAGCCCTGACCCGCAGAAGGTACAGCCTTTTGCCACCAGGACCCCCCGAGACATACAGCATCACAAGCAGCCCCACAGCATCTCCCAAAAAGCAGGGACATCCCTGCCCCACCCCACCCCGCCCCACCCCACGAAGGCTGCATCTGCTTCTCATCCCACTAGGAAGAACTCTGCCCTACCCATGTCCCTGGGCAAGACCAGCTTCAAAGCTGCCCTTGCCCACTTTGAGCAACCCACCAGCAAGGTCTTCCTGGCAGGTAAGGAAGAAGAGGGAACGGAGCCCACCAAACCACAGATGCGTACAAAGTTCTGAGGAACACCAGGAAAACCCAGAGGTACGAAATGAACCCCTTTGCCCTAGACATGTGGGTTTCCTCCCCATCCTCGCTGAAACTACTTTCCCAGCTCACGCGCAAGAGAGGGCTCCCCCTTGCACTTGGACACAAGAGGCCACATGCCCAAAGCTGCCCCTCTCCCGGACCAGCCCTTCTCCTGGGTCAGCCGTCCTCAGAGAGCCTCCTGCACAACGATCTGAATTCTAATAGAAGCGAACGTGTGCAGCTCAGGGTTGAATGGTGGAGTCCTGGGGGTTCCCTGAGCTTGGCTCTTTTCTGGCAAACATTTTGTTACCCGGCTAGGTCACATCTTCACTGATGTTCACTACCCTAGCCGGGTAGCGAAACGTTTGCCAGAAAACAGCCAAGCTCAGGGAACCCCCAGGACTCCACAGATCTGAATTCTGCCTCTCAGCTGGGCCAGCCAAAGAGCTCTGGGAAAGGCCTCCACAACCAAGGGACTCACAGCCAATTCCCTCAGTCCAAGGTCACTTACTAGGTTTCCCAGGAACTATTCTTTTAAGAATCCATTGCCTTCCTAGAAGTCAGCATCTCACTGCTGATGTGAAGGTGTCAACATCTTTGTTCTGGTGATCACACTCTAATGCAAATGAGCGGAGATCGACTTTGCTTTTTGAGACCAACATTTGCAACGGCAAGTTCCAGAAACCTTTTTTAAAACGGCACTGCATGACTCTTTTTACTGTACGCTGCCCAGAGTTGTTGTAGAGCTGGGTAGTCTTATAAACCACACCGACAGACACACGGAAGACTAAGCCTCCACTGGGCTTCCTTTGAGAAGACTGTGAAATTCCTCACCACTCCCGGAGCAGCTTCCCGCCACACCCACACCGTGCAACTCTTCCGCCTGCCAACGTTTACCCAGAGCTCAAAGATCCCAGGCCTTAATCTCAGCCCATTAATCTCTCTGGACAATCCTTTGAACTTTTTAAATATTTAGCTTTTAAATAACGATTGACTGGGGCGGTTATGTTTTATTGCTCTATGTCTTTGCTGCACTCTGCCCAGAGTCACTTCTTGTGAAATGGGCAGCTATATAAATTTGATATAAACAAACAAACAAACCAACCTGGCCTCTCACCAGAAGCCTCTCATGCACCCACCCTAGAAGACAGAGCCCTGCCTTCCCTCCCAAGCTGCCAGTCCTGGGCTGGGC